CTTGCAAAGAGCAAATCATGGGACTTCTCACCTCCATCACTGTAGGAGCCAACCCTATTAAATATTTTCCTATACCTATGCCCTATTGGTTCTGTTTCTCTAAAAGTTTAATAGACTTATCTTTCCAGTCCAATCTCTTACTCAAGATTTTTTCAGTATCACACCATGTGAACTCCTTATGAAAATGTTGTTAGGAGAGCCCATGCTTGTTACCAAAGCTTGAAAAATGACTTAAAATCAAAAGTGGGGTGGGAGGAGTAATCGATCAGGATGGCAGAGTAGGAAGATGCAGAACTACCCCACCACCACCATGAACGTATCAAAAACACATCTACATGAGGAACAATTCTCACGGAAAACTAGCTGGAAACTGGCAGAAAGACTCCTTTACAACAAAGCTATAAGAAAGATCTACACAGAACCAAGCAGGAAGAGAAAAGAAGCAATCAGGTCAGGACCTGTTCCCCCTAGGAGGGGACTCAGAGGAAAAGAAAGAATACACAGGCAGAGATTTGCCCTGGGGAGTGACTGGTTCAAGCCACATACTGGTGCCCCTGTCCTGGGGGCTGACACAGCGAAGGCAAGCCCCTTTGGCTGGTTGGAGGGATACTAGGACTAACAGGAGGGCTGTGGGAAACCCGGATTTTACTTGTCAAGAGTATGCGAGTGCTAGCTTGCTCCCAAAACAGGGTGGAGAGGGCAGATTGAGGACTGCTCCAGTGACTACCCAGTTTCCTACCAAATGCACAGGTATGCGCCTCACCCGAAGCCAAGCCAAGAGCCACACTTACTTCACCTTGCAGCTCTACACTGCAGCAAGAGCCCCCACAACTGGGAAGAGAGCTCAGCCATAGGACACAGAAGTAACTTGGACCCAGTGTGGTGTCTCAGTATAGTGGAGGGATGGCAGCTGGCCTGCCATAGCCCCCACCCCGTCATAAGCTGAGAACCCACACAGGCCCCTTACGCTCCAGTACTGACCCCTTCTAGGGCAAGGATGCTAGTCCTGGGAAAGGGGAGAACATATACTTCATGGGAACAGAGCCAGCTTGGATTTGACCCTCAGGGTTTCTGCTCTATCAACTTGAGATTCAACCCTGCCCCCAATTGGATAATAATGGCCACTGAGCAGAGGGGAAGCCCAACCTCACACCAGACTCTTCCCTAGCCCCTCTAACTCCAGCCCCACCTTCTACTAAGGTGATAGTTTCCAGCACACCCTAAGGAAAGATGTGACTCCTATTCACAATAAATCCAGACCTCTCAGCAAAGGCACTAGGCACATGCAGACTGTACAGAAACACTCTAACATAAGGACACCCCTTTAAGACCACAATAAGTAACTATTTCACCTAAATTCATAGAGACAAAGAGTATTAAGCAAAATGAAAAGACCGAGGAACTGGTCTCAATTAAAAGGTCAAGGAAAAAACCCTGAAAAAAATATATAGTCAAACAGAAATAAACAATTTACCAGATAAAGAATTCAAAGCATTAGTAATAAAAATGCTAACTGCATTAGGGAAAAGAATAACTAAACAGTGAGACTTTTAACATGGAACTAGAAAGTATAAAAAAGAACCAGTCAGAACTGAAGACTACAATAACTGAAAGGTAAAACATACTACAAGAAATGAGTAGCAGACTAAGTGATACGAAAGAATGCATAGTGATCTGGAAGATAGATGATGGAAATCACTCAATCAGCAAAAAGAAAAATTAATCTTTTAAAATCAGAACAATTTAAGAGATGTTTGAGATAACATCAAGCATACCGACATTCACATTATAGGGGTCCCAGAAGGAGAAAAGAGAAGAAGGTCAAAAAACTTATTTGATGAAATTATGTCTGAACACTTCCCTAACATGAAGAAGGAAACATATTCAGGTACAGGAAGCAAAGAAGGTTCCAATCAAGATAAACCTAAGTAGACCCACACCAAGATGTATCATAATTAAAATGGGAAAAGTTAAAGATGAAGAGAGAATCCTAAAGTCAGCAAAAGAAAAACAAGGGAAGCCCAATAAGCTGATTTTTCTGCAGATATGCAGATATGGTTATAGGTCAACATATATGAACTCCACAGTAACCACATCAAAAGCCTACAACAGATACACAAAAACTAGGAAGAAAAGAACAAAAGCATACTACCAAAGAAAATTATGAAACCAAAAGAGAAGAAACAAAAAGAAGAAAGGAAGAACAGAAAAGAACTATAAAAACAACCAGAAAACAAGTAATAAAACTGCAATAAGTAATACTTACTAATAATTACTTTAAGTGTCAATAAACCTAATGCTCCAATCAAAATATATAGGATAGCTGACTGGATAAAAGAAAACAAGACCCATATGTTGCTGCTTACAAGGGTTCACTTCAGAGCTAAAGACACACAGACTGAAAGAGAGAGGATGGGGAAATATTTCATGTAAATAGAAACAACAAGAAAGTGGGAGGTGCAATAATATCAGACAAAATAGACTTTAAAACAAAGTCCTACAACAAAAAACAAAGAAGGGCATTATATAATGAAAAAGGGATCATATGTTCATGTATAACTGAAAAATTGTGCTCTACACTGGAATTTGACACAACATTGTAAAATGATTAAAAATCAATAAAAAAATGTTAAAAAGAAAAAAAAAAGAAAGAAAAAGGGATCAATACAAGAAGAAAATATTACACATATATGCACCCAGTACAGGTGCACCTAAATATATAAAGCTAATATTAACAGACATAAAGGGAGAAACTGACAATAATACAATAACAGTAGGGAACTTTAACTCCCCACCAATATCAATGAACAGATCATCCAGATAGAAAATCTAAGGCAATGGTGGTCTAAATGATGTAATAAACCAATTGAAATAATAGATATCTATAGTACATTGCATCCAAAATCAGCAGAATATAACATTCTTTTCAAGTACACATGAAACACTCTCCAAGGCGGATCAAATGCTAAGACTACAAAACAACTCTCAACAAATTTAAGAGGATGGAAATTGTATCAAGCATTTTTTTCTGACCACAATGGTATGAAACTAAAAATCAATTACAGAAAGAAAAATGGAAAAAGCATAAACATGTGGAGACTAAACAACATGCTACTAAAAACCAATGAGTCAATGAAGAAATCAAAGAGGAAATAAGAAAATATTTCAAAACAAATAAAAAGGAAAACACAACTTTCCAAAATCTATAGGATATGGCAAAAGCAATTCTAATAGGAAAATTTATAGCAATACATGTCTTCCTTAAGAAATAAGAATCATCTCAAATAAATAACCTAACCTACCATTGAAAGGAATTAGAAAACAAAGAACACACAAAACATAAAATCAGCAAAAGGAAGGCAATAATAAAATCAGAGAGGAAACAAATAAAATAGAGACCAAAAAACAAAAAAACCAAAAACCCAAAAAACAAAAGACCAATGAAACCAAGAGCTGGTTTTCTGAAAACATAAACAAAATGATAAGCCCTTGGCCAGGCTAATCAAGAAGAAGAGAGAACCCAAATAAAATAAGAAATAAAAAAGGAGAAATAAGAACCAACACCACAGAGATACAAAAATCATAAGAGAATATTACAGTTATTTGCCAACAAACTGCACAACCAAGAAGAAATGGACAAATTTCTATAAACATACAACCTGCCAAGACTGAATCAAGAAAAAACAATGTGAACAGACTGATCACTAGTAGTGAAACTGAATTTGTAATTTAAAAAAGAACTCCCAGCAAACAAAAGTCCAGGACCAGATGACTCCACAGGGGAATTCTACCAAACATGTAAAGAAGAGGTAATACATATTCTTAAGGCTCAAACTATTTCAAAAAACTGAAGAAGACAGAACACTCCCAAATTCATTGTACAAAGCCACCATTATCCTGATACCAAAATCAGACAAAAGACAATGACAACAACAACAACAAAAAGGAAGTAAGAAAGAAAATTACAGGCCAGTATCTTTGATGAATAGAAATGCAAAATTCCTCAATAAAATGTTAGCAAACTAAATCCAACAAGATATAAAAAGGATCACACGCCATAAACCGAGATTCATTCTAGGAATACAAGGATGGTTCAATATTTCAAATCAATCAATGTAGTATACCACATTAACAAAAGGGGGAAAAATCACATGATCATCTCAATAGATAAAGAAAAAGCCCTTGACAAATTCAGCATCCATTCATGATTTAAAAAAAACAAAAGACAAAAAACAAAAAAACTCTCACTAAAGGGGTATAAAGAGAACATGCCTCAACACAGCAAAAGCCATTCATGTCAAACCCACAGCCAACATAATACTCAACGATAAAAAGCTGAAAGCCTTCCTGATAAATTCAGGAACAAAACAAGAATGGCCACTCTTATCACCTCTATTCAACATAGTATTGGAATTTCTAGTCACAGCAATTGACCAGAAAAAGAAATATAAGGCATTAAAATTGGAAGGGAAGAGTAAAACTGTCACTATTTGCAGATGACATGATACTAGATAGAAAACTGAAGTCTCCACAAAAAAAGCTACTAGAAATAATAAAGAACTGAGTAAAGTTACAGGATACAAATTATTTGTATAGCTGTATAGTTGTTTTCTAAACACCAATAATGAACTATCAGAAAGAGAAAAAGAAGTCTTGCTTACAATTGCATCCAAAAAGAAACCTAGGAATAAACTTAACCAAGGAGGTGAAAGACCTAACCTCTGAAAACTACAAAGAATTGATAAGAAATTGAAGATGATACAAAGAAATGGAAAGATACCCATGTTCTTGGATTGGAAGAATTAATATTGTTTAAATGACCATACTACCCAATATAACCTACAGATTAAATGCAATTCCTATCAAAATAACAATGGTATTTTACACAAAACTAGAACAAACAATTTTAAAATTTGTATATAAACACAAAAATCCCCAAATAGCCAAAACAATCTTGAGAAGGAAGAACAGAGCAGGGAGTATCATGTTCCCTGACTGGACTATACTACAAAGCTACAGTAATCAAAACAATATGGTACTGACCAAAAAAGACACATAGGTCAATGGAACCAAAAAAGAACCCCAGAAATAAACCCACACACTTATGGCCAATTAATCTATAAAAAAGGAGACACGAATGTATAATAAAGAAAACGATCTCCCCAATAAGTGGTGCTGCGAAAACTGGACAGCTACATGTAAAAGAATAAAATTAGAACATTTCCTAACACTATATACAAAAATAAACTCAAAATGGATAAAAGGCCCAAATGTAACATCAGACACTATAAAACTCCTAGAAGAAAACATAGACATAACAGCCTTTGACAAAAATTGTAGAAATATTTTTTTCATCTGTCTCCTAAGCAAAAGAAATAAAAGCAGAAATAAATAAATGGGACCTAATTAAACTAAAAAGCATTTTTTTACACAGCAAAGGAAATTACTGAGAAAATGAAAAGACAACCTACTGAATGGGAGAAACTATTTGCAAATGACATCACCAATAGGGGATAATATCCAAAATGTACAAACAGCTCATATAACTCAGTATCAGAAAAACAAACGACTCAACTGAAAAATGGGCAGAAGACTTGAATAAACATTTTTCCAAAGAAAACATACAGATGGCTAACAAGCAGCTGAAAAGATGCTCAACATCACTGTTAGAGAAATCCAAATCAAAACCACAATGAGATATCACCTCACACCTATCAGAATCCCTAACATCAAAAAGTCTACAAATAGCAAATGTTGGTGAGGATGTGGAGAAAAGTGAACTGTTGCTAGGAATGTAAATTGGTGCAGCCACTGTGGAAAATAGTATGGAGATGCCTCAAAAAACTAAAAATAGAACTACCATATGATCTGGCAATCCCACTCCAGGGTATATATATTCAAAAAACAAAAATTCTAAAAGAATATGAAAATGAATATATATATATATATATATATGTTCATGTAAGACTGAAGCAATGTGTTGTACACCAGAAATTGACACAACATTGTAAACTAACTATACTTCAATAAAATAAATAAATAAAATTTAAAAAAACAGTAATTAGAAAAGATACACACATCCCACTGTTCATAGCAGTGTTATTTACAATAACTAAGATATGTAAGTAACCCAAGTGTCCATTAATATATGAATGCATAAAGAAAATGAGACAGAAATACACACAATGGAATATTACTCAGCCATAAAAAAGAATGAAATTCTGCCATCTGCAACAACACGGATGGCCTTAGAGGGTATGCTTAGTGATATAAGTCAGATAGAGAAAGACAAATACTGCATGATGTCACTTATATGTGGAAACTAAAAAATAACACAAACAAACATATATAACAAAAAAAAAAAGAGAGACTTACAATTAAATGGAGTGTAATCTATAAACATATTGAATCACTATGCTGTATACCTGAAACTAATATAATATTGTAAATCAACTATACTTCAATTTTATAAAATTTTAATAATAAAAATAAAATAAATTTAAAAACAAATTGGGTTAACAACTATAAACTCCAAGGGAAAAAAATTACCTGAAGATTCTGAAGAGTAAACAAAAGAGACAGATTACTGGGAGGAATAGAAGTTTAGAGACATGACTGGCACTGAAATGAGTTTCATGTGTTTGCTTTTCTGTGGGTCTTTTTGGACGGGTGGAGGAACAGGGGTAGTTTTGCCTAAAGGGCAGGCCACAGTCACAGGAATGGTTCAGTACAGGCAGCTAAAACTTCAAGAGAAATCCCACAGGCTGCCTGGCCAGGAGAAAGGGACAGAAAACTGGACAACCACAGCTGGCCACCAGTAACAATCTGTAAGAAAACAGAGCTGAAGAAGGGACTCTTCCAATTCTTATAAACATTGTACAAGTCTCAGGCTGACCCCTTACACAGTATCATAAAGGCTTAAACAAGTAAACTCAGATTTGAACCTACAGGAGACAAGATTTATAGTCTGAGCTTAATAAGGCTGAGACTAAAGGCCAATGAAATCAAAAACATAACATTCTTCAGCAGAATTTAAAACAATTCAGAATTACAAAAGACACTATTAACTACATCCAAGACACGATCCAAAATTATTTCACATACAAAGGATCCAGAAAACTTGACCCATTCTAAAGTGGAAAAGATTAACACAAGCCAATCTCAAAATGACTGAGAGGTCAGAATTATCAAACAAGGATTTTAAACCAGCCATGATTACTATGCTCATTGAGATAAAGGAAAAGACACTTGAGTGACTGAAAAGATAGGAAATCTCAACAGAGAAATAAAAATTTACTTTAGAAATGAGTATTTTAAAACTGAAAAATACAATACCTGAAATTTAAAATTAAGTGGATGAGCTTAACAGAAAAATAGAGATAAAGAGGAAACATCAATGAGCTTAAATTTATCAATACAAATTATACAGTCTAAAAAGCAGAGAAAAAAGATTGAACAAAGAGATGAACAGAGCCTTATGGACTTTAGGGACAACATCAAAAGACCAAACATAAAGGTACTGGAGCCCTAAAAGATAAAGATAGAATGAGTCTTTAAAAAGTAGAATAAATAATGACCAAAACACCCCAGATTTGGTGTAAAAAGACATAAATATATAGATTCAAGAAGCTCAGTGAACGTCAAAAAGGGAAAATTCAAAGAAAACTACATATAGACTCATCATAACCAAACTGCTGGAAACCAGAGACACAGACAAAATTTAAAGCAGCCAAAGGAATGTGATCCACTACATAGAAGGGAATGTATTCAATGGCAGCAGATGTCTTATCATTTCTTATCATCTTCTTTCAAGGCATCCAGAAGACAGTGGAACACTGTCAGCACTCCTAAAACATCTTTTTATCATCTTCTTTTGTGACACCCAGAAGACAGCAGAACAACTTCTTTAAAAAGCTGAAAGGAAAAACTATCAACCCTGAGTTCTATATCCAGCAAAAATATCACACAAGAATGAAGGCCAAATAAAGACATTTTTCAGATAATGGAGAACCAAGAAAATCTATCACCAGCATTACTGCACCACAAGAAACAACAAAGGAAGTTCTTTAGGCTGAAAGGAAATTTTGATATCAGAGCAAAAACTGGATCCTCAGAAATAAATGTTAAGTATTGGAAATATTTAATGTACATAAATTATACCTCAATAAAGTAGTAAAAAAAAATTAAGGAAAATTATTTCTAACCTAGAATTCCATATGAAGCAAAACTAAAACTCAAGTGTAAGGGTAGAAGAAAAGACATTTTCAGGTGTACAGATCTAAAAAAAGTTTATGTATTTTTTCCCTAAGAAGCTACAAAAGGATGTGCTCCACTAAAATAACAAAAGTAAACTAAGAAAAAAGATGACATGGGATACAATGAGGGAGAAACATAGAACAAAAGAAGTACAAAGTTAACTTTCAAAAGAAAGAAAAAGAGACTCCAAGATGGCAAATACACCAGGCATAAGAGGCAACTGCTAGATTAGAGGACAACGATCTAGATTAGAGCAGTATCAAGAGGCAGATTGATATTACCAAGACCCCTGCTACTAATGTCATTATTGTCATTTTAACCCAAAGCAGAAAGCCGGAGTGAGCCCAGTCTGCTGCTTCTTCTTGGCTCAACTTGACCATATGATGAAGTCTTTATTCACCCTGCAGCAACTTGATTCAGCTGAAGCCATTCATTTCTCCACACAGAAGTGTTCTACTTTGATCAAGTCATGAGGTTGTGAATTAATTATACGATAGATTATGCATAGTATGCTTCCTTTTATACAACAAAGAAAAAACAAGACTTACACCCAAACATATGCTTATTTGCACAAAAAAGACTAAATAGTAAATTAGAACTAGTGTGAATAGATAACTACAGGGGGTAGGTGGAAACAGGGTGAAGGAGGAAGGTGAAAACTGGGTAAAAGAAGTGTATATGGAGTTCACATTTCACTGTATATGCCTTTGTGTATGTTCTGACTTTCATATATTCAAAGAAAGGAACAAAAAATAAGAATGGGGGAATAGCCTAAAATGCAGTGCAAACAAAAACAAGTATCCTAACTATGTTTGCTTGTTTGTTTGTTTGGGGGGGGTGGTAATTAGGTTTTCACTTATTTAATTATTTTTTAATGGAGGTACTGGGGATTAAACCCAGGACCTCGTATATGCTAAGCAAGCACTCCGCCACTTGAGCTATACCTTCCCCCAACAATTATGTTGAAAATGAAAAATACACATATTGAAGGCACAGGAGAAAAGAACTAATCCAAGTAACTTCTAAGCACATTATTTAAGTAAACTCTAAGGCTCAAGACAAAAAAGAAGTGTAAATAGACATTAAATTCTAATTAATAGGTTTTTCACAGAGGTATGAGTCAGCAACTTTAAAACTACTTTCTGTATATTCTAGCACTGAATAAATAAGTAAATATTTGTTTACTTATTCTTACTATTATGGATAATAGGAGACAAGTGTGTCAACATTGGAAAGAGAAACAGAAAGTGGAAAGGCTAGAATAAACCCTACAGTATAGAAATGGAACTGGAGGTATCACTAATTCAATGATTCATAATACAGATAGAGAAACAGATGTGTCCATATACACACACACAAAAATATATATATACACAAGTATGTATGTATATATTCCTACATTACCTAGCTGTCTTCTAAGAGGGCCTAGAACCAGTGATATCCTGGTGGCAACAAGCATATCTAGGGCCCAGAACTCAGTGTCTAAATACCATTCACCATTAAAAGTAACCAAGGCTCCTTAGGAAAATGGCCAATTCTGAGACTGCAGAAAGGAAAGTACAATTTGAGCCTAGAAAAAGAGCTGGTAAACTACAGCCCACAGGCCAAATCCAATCAGCCACCTGTCTTTGTAAATAAAGTTTTATTGGAACACAGCCATGCTCATTCATTTCTAAACTGTCTATGGCTGCTTTCCTGCTGTGAGGGTGGAGTTAAGTAGTTTCAACAGAGACCATAGCGCCCACTAAGCCAAAAATACTAT